CTTAGGTTTTGGTTTGCTTATGTAGATGTCTAATGGCCACCTCCTGTAATTAATTTAACAGTAGTGTATACAGTAATTTTTTTTTTATGATGGACAAAGAATGCACAAAAGCAAAGCAAATACTATAGATACTTCTAGGCCTTCTTCCCTGCCACTCCCCACCCCCTGCAGTCATCACGCAGATTCAACATTTATCAACTCATGGCCAATTCTGTTTCATTTATGCCCTGCCAAACCCAGCTGTCCTGTGCTCCAGCTTTGGGTTCACCTGAAACCCTATCTCCTCAGCTGAACTTGCCCAGGAGACAATCCTGGGTGCAGCAGACTCCTGCCGGTCTGTGTCCTCCACTCCATTCCTGGGGCCTGAGGCTTGAGAACACTTCCAGTGTCACATTCTGTTATACTTGATGGGGAAACTCGAGGCGTCCTGGTGGCGGGCAGGACAAAAGGACAGCTGTGCCAGGCTGCCCGCAAATTAGGGCATCTTTGGAGGCTGTCCTCCAATCCCTAATTAATTTTTAGGAGAGCTTTAATTATGCCATCAACAGTCCTCACTTAAACAATCACAGGCACTCAGGCTAGGGGAGAAATGAGTGACTGACTAGATTTGCATAACCATTTACACTAATTAGAATGTCAAAAGTTGGTGGCAAAGAGGCCAAGTTGTGCTGTGACTTAGTATCATTTTAATTTAGACCAATTTCCTATTATTACAACTGTCTTCCTCTTTGCATCTCAGGTCCTCTTTCCTTCTGAACGATTTGTAGCAAAAACAGAATGGAAAACAGAGATAATAATAACTCAGTTGTAGGCAGAACTCCTAAAAAACTAAAAGCTTTCTTTCCTTAATCCAAACCATGATTTTAGTTTTCATCTAAACTTACAATTGCATGGATATTTAGATTTAGATAATTTAGGCAAACACTTCGCTTTGAATCTAGAAGCCTCCTCTTTACGTGAGTGTGTGTGTGTGTTCCATATAAGGTGGTAGAATCATGGTCAGGTTGTCCCATGAGAAAAAGTACTGTCTTTGAACAGTTACTTTCATTCCAGTGTCTTAACATAAGGATTGGTGTGTAATAATAATGATTATAAGATATACTCATTAATAAGTAATATTAGTTTAAATAATATGTAAAGCTTCTAAGACACATGTTTTGAACTATAAGATTTGAAAACTACAAAGTGGGCTGAGAATACAGAACTCCAGGTCTCCAGCATAGAACCTCCCTGACCCATTAGAGACTGTTTAGGCATGCATCAGTGGTTTCTGGGTCTGGCTGGTGAGCTACTTACCCAGGTCCTAGTTAAATCAGGCATCTTCTGTTTTTCCGCCCTCATTCCCTTTTAGCAGCAGGAGGCCATCTATTTAATTAGTTGGGGATGGGAGCGTCTATAATCTCTTGGGGGCAGCTTTAGCCCCAGAACTGGATAAGAGGGTGAATCCAACTTGGGGCATGGCTGGCCTCTCCCTGCAACATATGGGGAGCCTGCCACGCCTTCAGCCCAAGTTCCAGCAGCAAGCAGGAGTGGAGGAGCCTTCCCTGCTGGGAACACACCCCGCAAAGCCAAGGGCAGGTGGCGTCACTCGTAGAGGTCAAGCAGTTCTTAGACCAAACAGCATCTGGCAAACTATGCCAATTGGAAATCAATGTCCCTCCCTGGGTGGGTTTAATTTTATGGTTGTTTGCACAAACTTACAGCCCCTAATGGCAGGGCAGAGCTCAGAGCATCCTCCCAGGATTGTTTCGAGGGAGTGTGATGTCTTTTCAGCCCATCCATAAGTTAAAGTAAAGAATCTGTTGACTTGAGGCTAGTGTTAGAGCCTGGCTGTCATGCTAAGCTAAACTAGAGGTGGGTTTAGCCACTATTTATCCAAGACCGGGAGGTTTGACCACAAATGCAATACATTTAAGCCCCCAAAGCCTTACCACACTCCTTCTAGCCTGAGGGAGACACGTGGGTTCCTCTGCATGAGGCAATGTTGAATCATTATGTTAAGTGTTCCAACTCCATGTTAAGTAGACCAGCTTCCTTTGGACTGACATAAGATTTTATAGTGGTTAAGAAGTTATGTTCTGCAATCAGACAAATTCAGGTTCCAACACTCACCAGCAGAAGAACTTTGGGGCAAGTTTCTTAACCTCTCTGGGTCTCACTTTCCTCATCTGTAAAATGGGGATAAAAGTTTCACCCACCTCACTGAGCTGCTGAGAGGATGGAGTAAGATAGTATGTTGAAACTGGTTAGTATGGATTAAAATGACAATAAGGATAATAATGATAATTCCAGCCAAATATGAACAAGATAGTCATGTTAAAATAGGCAGCAACAGAAGGCTTGAATGAGCAGTGCTGGTTTTAAAACCTTAAATTTTAACATTGAACTCCATAGTCTTGTATGCAAATTCTTTAACTTGCTCATTTTCCCCTTGTTATGACCCATCATCTTTCTTATTTTTCAACAAAAAGATAAAGATCCAGACATAATACTATATTCTGATTCACCCTGCAATGAATGGGTTGTTGCTTTAGAAGCATCTCATGTCAGTCCTTGGTCCCATCAGAATCAGAACTCCAGGGAACCCAGCGGTAGTCATGGCAACAACATCTGTTGTGTTTCTCAGGTGGATCATTTCCAGGAGATACTTGGATAATCAAGATCAAGTGATGACTCATATGGGAGAAAAACTTTTGTGTAGCTGAGGATAGGGTTGCTTTCTTTGGGGTCAGAAACTCGGATGGAGTGTGAGCCTACCTGGGGAAATGTACCCCAAACTCTTCTTTCCTCCATCAGAGACAGTTTCACTGCAGTAGACTACAAAGGGACAGGGGTGAGGAGCCCTGCTTCCAAGTGGGTCAGGGAGAGGAGAACAGGAGAGGAAGGGCCAGTTCTCCCGGATGAATAGAGAGCAGTTGTTGGTGGAGAACTGTGTTCTGGCCAGAATTGCAGTTTCCGTAAGATGCCTGATTACTTTCTTCCTTTATCTATAGCTTCAGCTGGATCCCCATCATTAGGGCAGGATGAAAAGGTCCCCCTTTCTCTAACAGACACAATCTGCAGTCTCGCAACCAACCGCCCCAGTGACTGTGTTACTGTTTCTTAGCCATAGCTAGAGACACCCGGCAAGCTGGCCAGTCCAATTCTCTCTCCCAAGTTTTTGAAAACTTGGCTGAAATAGACAAGTGAGTTGGAGCAGAGTCACCTCATAGTAGTACTTCAGGGCCTAAAGCAATGGCTGCTAAGGTCCAAGTCACCTTCATTCATGTCCTACCAGAAAACCGGTTATTTAAACTTCCTTTGACTTAGTGAGCTACCCCTCATCATTCCATATCTCCTTTCTGCTTAAGGACTGATTCTGTTTTCTTTTTTTCTTCTGCAGGAATCTTGATATGACATGTTTCCTACTGAAACTTGAAAAAAATAAAAAGTAGAGAAGGATGGGTTTTGAATAGTAAGCTTGTGATGTTTGCAAGGGTCTAAACCAAAATCTCTGGGTTCTCCAACCTTGAGAATAGATTTGTAACCTAAAATTTCCCCCATAAAAAGCATCTTCAACCATGAGAGCTATAAGGCTGTATGGAGGTGCATGTGCGGTGGTTAGCCAGCTGGATCTGTTCCTTGACTAAGTGATTTACATCCATGTCTGGTAACCTGGGATTTAAATTTCTGCCTACACAAAATGACCAAGTGTGCTTCCTCAAGAATAGGTGACACTGGAGCATTAATTTTTCGAATGCTAAAGTTCTCTGAAAAAGCTCCAGGCTCATCTAAGCAGCACAAAGTGGTACAGCTACATATATCTTTTTCTTTAAAAACTACATTATTGCCTTCAGGGATTAATTGCAGCAGCCAATCATCTAGTGAAACAGGCCATGGGTTTCTTACAATTATTACTGTAAATGGCTTCTTCCATAGGATCCACATTTGGGCACTGATTCATACTGGGATTGCTTTAGCCTCATCTTCTGCAAAGGGCTTCCTCTGAAGATCGAAATGTGAGGTTGGGTCTATTTATCAGTGACAACTCCGACACTGGGCAAAATCCCTGAGCAAGAGATCCAAGTCTCTCCCCCAGCTCCCTCCAATAGGGAGATTTTCATATGATGTCACCAATGGGTGGGTCACTTTGTAACAGAGCTAAAGACACAAGTTCCTGTTAGGGCCAGTTCAATTCATCCTCTTCTCTGGCTGTGGAGTGCATCATCCCCCCAGGGATATGACCAGCCTCCTCCCAGAGAGCTGCTTTGGCACAACACATCCTCACTTCTGCAGAAACCACTTGGAGCATCAGTGGAATTCCTTTAGCTTGTGGTAGACTTCACATAATTCACCAAAACTTCCTCCAAGCTTCCTGGAGGTTTCATGTCTCCATGTCATGAATTCGCAGTTACTTCTCATATGGAGCTTCCTGCTTGAGGACTCTTGTGCCTTCCAGTTGTCTAAAGTCTCCACTCTCCCTCTCCTCCCCACATGGTAGATAAAGGGACTGGGATCAGACTGGGGGAAGCAGGTAGGTGTACCTTCAGGCAGGTCTTGAATAAAACCAGAAAAGAGTTGGATTAACTTCTGGAAACCCAGAAGAAAATTCTGGTTTGACTGAACTGGGTCACCTTCTTGACCCCAAGGCACTGATGCTGTTCACCAGCACCTGAAGACACTTACCGCTATTGTTGCACATTACGAACGCATTTCCAAAGTACCACTAAATACAACCTGGAAAAGGAAATTTTCTACTGGCTAATTTCTTGCTAATTTCAGGCCAGTTATAATGAATCATGTATCTCCATCACTCAGCTTCAACAACTATTTAACTAATAGGCAATCTTGTATTACCTATACCTCCACCCGTTTCCCTTTTCCCTAGATTATTTTGAAGCAAATCCCACACATTATATAATTTATTTGTAAGTATTTCAGTATGTATCTCTAAAATATAAGCTCTTAAACAGTGTAACCATGCTATCTTTATTAAACCTAAAACAATTAACGATAATTCCTTATTATCAAATGTGCAGTCCATGTCCAGATTTTCTCTCATTGCCTCATAAATGTTTTTAGAGTTGGTTTATTTGAGTCAGAATCTAAACAAGAGCCACACATTGCGTTTGGTTGAAATGGTTCTAGTCTCTGATTCTAATTTTATAGGTTCCTTCTTCACCTTTCCCCCTGCCTCATATAATATATTTGTTGGTAAATAGTCAGTTGTCCTATTGAGATTCTTAATTCTGGATTTTGCTGATTGCCTCTCCATAGTGTATCTCTTAACATGATTCTCTGTCACCTGAATGTCATGTGAGTTGATTGTTAGATATGGAGGCCTAATAAGATTCAGGTTCAGTTTTTTAGTAGGTACACTAGATGCTCTGTTTTTCCATCAGGAGGCATACAGTGTCTGATTCTGTATGTTTCTATCTCTTTTTAGTGGATTAACTGGACGATAATTAGAAGCATTCAAATAACAGTGGTAGGTTATTCACAGACATGTGTTACCACCAGACCTTGGGCAACAGAATGTGGGTTAGGCTAGAGTTTGAATCTTCCCGTGTCACCAGTGCCCTTCTCTTGGTTGGCACCTCCTTCCTTTCCTGGGTCCCTTTTTAAACCATCAAATTCTGGGCTGGCTGCCAGCTGAGCAGTGAACCTCTTGACTGTCCTTCTTGCCAGCCATTTGCCCTGGAAGTTTTCCCAGCCCCGACATGCTTCTCCCAGTACACCCTCCTCACCCTCAGCCCTGCCCAGAGAGTTTGCATGCTCTTGAGTCACACTTTATAAGAGAAATATTCAGGATGCAAAAGAATGACTAGAATGCAGAAGAGAAGGAGTTTGTTCATTAATTTCAGCATAACAAGTTAAAAACCTTTTGAGAGGAAAGTTATACAGACTTTTTTTTTAATCAGTCACTAAAATGCTTTCAGATGGCCTTCTCCTTAATGTAAGAGTATGGATTCAGCTTGAATTTTCTGTGGATACTGCTCTCTGGATATCCTCTGAGACAAAGAGTTTCCATGGCCACATAATTTGGGAAACTCTGTATATCCCATCTTAAGAAGGACCATGACCATAGTAAAGCCTGTATAGCTTTGTTTAAGGCAGAATTTCCTTTTGTTTGTTAAAGGGTAAAATTTCCAGGACACAGTTTGGGAAATACACTTTGGAAGAACCATAAAGCTAATCTTCTGGGTAAAGTGAGGCATGGGAGAAAGGGGGCATTAGCGATTAGAACCAGCACTCTGGAATTTCTCTGACCCACTTGAGTCTGGAGACGCTTGGGGGATTGAATTGGTAAGAGGTTCTTATAATGGGCTTCTGCAGAAAGCTTATGTTCCTGGTTTCTTGGCCTAAACTCATCAAGTATTTAAGCAAACTTTTGTCTTCCTTCTGAGATGACTTACATGCATCCTGCATGACACCAGGGAGCACAGAGGCGTGAACTAGTGTTACCTGGGCCTCAGTCCAGTATTCCTCAGTTAGCAGCAAAGCAAATTTGCTGGCGTGAATCAAGTGACCTAGAGTGACAAATTATATGGCAACTGGGCATTAGCCACTGGGGAACAGGACAAGTGAGCTGAAAGTAGGAGGTTGTGGGCTTCTGAGCATTGTCATCTGAGCATTGTAGTCAGCAGTGGTTGTGTGACTGGCAAAATGTGGGGTGTTCAGTTGACTGGTCCACTGACGCCTCAAGAACAGGCAGTGGTGGGGAGGTGATCATTGCAAGCAATGAAAGGCTGGCATAGGGAGAGTGGACTCAGTGGTGAAAGTGGCCTATGAGGAGGATGGTCAGAAGCCCAGTGTCAGAGGCGTATTGCAGACTTAGTTTCCCTCTCCTTTGGCACTGAGTTCCAAGGATCTGAGGTTGTGTGAACAGATGGTGTTCCAAGGAAACCTCAGACTTGGTTCACAAAATAGACTAATCTGTGCCTGCAGGTAACTGGCCCCACTGCCTGCTGTTTAGCAGGGCTGGGACAGGCTGGGACTGACAGAGCACTGTGCACATGTCATACAGCACAGTTAATGAGCATCTACTATGTGCCAGGCATCATTCTAGGCACTGAGGGCACAGTGATGAATGACTCTTTTCTTGACATCAAAACTCTTCCTGACAAGACTCAGTGCAGCACAGAGCATGGGCTCTAGGGAGAAAGAGAAGTGGTTTTCAAATCTAGTCACTTGCTGTGTAGCTCAGTTTAGCCAGAACCCTTGGTTTTCTTGGCACAAAATGAAGATTTTAACAGTCCTTCCCTACTCAAAAGGTATTGTGGAAATAGGAACTAACATCAGTAAGCATTTGGTATTTCCTGGGGGTGTTAAATTTTTTTTTTTTTTTTTGTGGTGATGATTTTGGTTTCCTTAGCTTAAGGTCAGCCTGAGCAAGAATTTCAATCAACCAAGAAGCAAATACTTCTTTATTGAACACTGTAGACCCAGATACCTAAAATTGCCCCTTCCCTTAAAAAATGTATAACCTATTTGGAGAAACAGGAAATAAATTCATACTTAGATACCAACACTACCAGTTTCAAATATCCACGTGGGTAGGGATTTTTGCAGTGCGGTCAACTCTATTTTTAGTGCCTACCACAGTACCTGGCACATGGTAAGTAAAATAAATATTTGTCAAATGAATGAATGAAAATCAGCTTGAAGGAATGAAACAAGTGTTATATGGTTGCCAAAGAAACAGGAAAAATTACATACTCACATGGCTACCATTGGATTCCGCTTAGACACGGCCTAGGAATCAGACTGGTTGAGACGTCTGGTCGGATAGGCATGATATCTTTTTGCTCCCCACTGAGTGGATTCAGTAAGAGGCAGGGCAGTAGGACTCAAACCTAATGGTGAGGAGGGACAGGAACACAGTCTCAGAATTAATAGACCTGGCTGTTTGGATATTTAGAATAACTTGTTCAGCTAAGCTGCTAAAATTGCACAAGGAAACAAAAAAGCAACACCAACTAAAATCAACAGAAAACTGCTTCCCTAGTGGGGCCGGGAGCCAGTATCAGCGGCTAGCCTGGGCAGGCAAGGCCTCTGGGCTTTTACTCTGTGCTGACTCAGGAACTGCCTGAAACCTGGATTGTAATGACAGCCACCCTTTGGGGGAGTAAGCCACCTGCTCACTGTGAAACAGCAGAGACCACAATTTCAGAGCAGGCAGAAAAGCAGCAGGCCAGTGGCAACTGAGTTTGGAGGGCACAATTTCCCCCCAAAGAGTCCATATTAGCAGGAGGAAAAACACCTGTGTTGCTAGGGGAACAATGTGGACTCTCCCTTTGTATGTGGGGTCCCTCCGCCTCCCTTTTCCTCCTCCCTCCCCTTCTTTCCTTCAATTAGTATTTCTTGAGCATCTGTATGTGCCAGACACAATTCTAGGTACTGGAGATACACCTAGGAACAATACAGAGGAAGCCTGTGTATTCCTGGAGTCTCCAAACAACCAAGGACATACAGCATCAGGTAGAACAGGAGCTGAATGACACCCCAGAGCCAGCCAGGGACAATCTAGGGAAATGGCAGTTGAGGCAGGGGTGGGGGGGGTGGGGTGAGCATGGGCAGTGGAGGAGGAGCAGCCTTTTGAGGGGGCAGCAGTAAGTGGTGATGTCAGAGAGGTGGGGCCACCAGCTGAAATCCTTTTTCCTCCAGAGCTCAGAAAAAATCTCCCTTCTGTGAACTCCTAATGGTACCAATCATGTCCGGCCTCATGCCTAGGATGGTGGTCCCCGCTCTACTGCTGACATGCTCCTATTGTTAAAAATGTTGGTATATTCTCACATATAAATATATGTGTTTATATTTTGTACACTATAAAACATACCCTGAGTTAGAAATGAATGAGATAAAAGAAATACCAGAATAATTTCTAATCATTTCCCATACTCTAATGGACTGTCTTGTGCACCTCTTGGAAAACATGACTCAGGTTTACTACTCAGGGTAGTTTTTTGTTGTGTGTTGGGTTTATCTCCACAACTAGATGATGTATTCCATTAGGCTAAACTCTGACTTATCCCTGATGTTGCCTGGCACAGGGCTGAACAGATGGAAGTAGTAATTACTGTCCAAGAGACAAAAGACTCCAGTTCTGGTGGACACATAGACAATGAGGCACCAGTGTAGAGGGCTTCTGCAGGGAGACAGGGATAGGTCCTATGGCCTTTTTTATGGCTAGATGAAAGATTCCTTGTATCAGTCAGGGTTCAACCAGGAAAGCAGAGCCACTGTGAGTATTACAGAAGAAGGAATTTGTTATAAGGATGAGGCCTTCTACAACTGGGGAAGGAGCAAGGGAAGTAAAGGTCCAAAAAGGTTTGTTGAAGAATGAGAGAACAGTCACTATGCAGCCCTGGCTGGGGGAATGAATCAGAGCTTGCAGGGGAGTCTGGAAGCGAGTCTTGAGCTGCTTGAGTAAGACTGGGTGGGGAAGCTGGTGCAGAAGTCAGCTTCTTTGTGGCTGTGACCATCTCTGTGAGCTCACAGGAAGCATCTGATAGTGGCCCTGGGGCCACTGTTGGTCAGCAGGGCCGGCGGTTGGGAGAGAGGGAGGGAGCACTGGGTACACCAGGAGGAAAAGCAAGGATGGACTGGAATCTATGGGCACCTCTGCCTCTATCTCTCATGGCCTCTAACCTACAAGGATCTTCAGAGTATCAGCTTCACTTTTGCCTAACTCAAACCCAGAACCACACAGGGAAAGGCATTCTGAAGAAACATAGCCTCCAGCCTGAGTTTATCATGGAACCATCCAGCACATCCCTGAGACTCACTCCCTTTGTTCTGCTTCAATGTCCATGAAGAGAAACATCATGATTATTGATCTGTCTTCCTTAATACCTCAGTGCTAGAAAGGGAGGGGCCCTGGATGGTGAATGCAAATATTTCAGTCACTGGAAAAGTGAAACCTCTCCTGAAAATTAACACTTTGAAATATGTCTGTGATTATAAAATTGAACCTTAAACTACGAGACAGCCAAATCTGCTACCCAGTAAGTCCCTGAGCAGTGTATTTTTTGCTTCTATTTCTGATATGTCAGACTTAGATTGTTCCAATATCAAAGGCAGAACTCCCTTGAATTTACCCACCTCTCACTGTCCCTGTACATTCTATGGGTCAAGCACTAAAAAGCAGGGAAATAAAGCAAAAATGAGAGGAGGGGTGGTTAGTCTGCATCCTGAATAATTGCAACAGGTCATTTTGTTTATCTAAAGAGGCACCTATATTGCATGTAACTGTGTCAGGCATGGGTCTAAGTGCTTTACAAAGAGTAACTAGCTCAGTCCTCATGCTAATTCTAAAGATCATTTCTATTAACCCTCCTTACAGATAAGGTAAGAGATATAGAGAGGTTAGTAAATTGCTCAAAGTCACACAGCTGGAATTTACATCATGATTAACTATACCTTTATGTGTAAAAGGTTCAAAAATTATCAAGTTCAAAAGCTGAGTTTATTTTTATTATCACTTACAAAATCTATTCAGAATGTGTAGTATTAGCTGTCATTTAAAGAGTAGCTTTCTTAGGGACCAGGCAGAGCCCTTTACAGGTACTGTCTAAAATAATGCTCACTCTTTCTGGGTTAGGTAGGTATTATGATTCCACTTTGCAGATAGAGAAATAGGAGAAGTGATTTTTGCAAGAGCACACAGCTAGTTGAAAGGACAGCCAGGATTCAAAACTGACTTCAAAGATAGAGCTTAGACCAAACGCTCAGAGGAGGCTAAGCTCCATCCAGAAGAGTGATGGCAGAGTCCAAACCATGCAAGTCAGTCTGGCTCATGGCAATGAGAAACTAAATCCAACTGCCAAGCTGTAATTCACAAGCAGTGTGTGAAGTGATTGGGGGTTGGAGAATCACCTGGGGCCCTTTAGTGAGCTTGTGCTTTCCGGAGGTGAGTGATCACTCTTGGGGCCTAGAACAGGGTCCCTCATCTTTGTCTTCTTTCTCTTGGCCTTGTCATTAGTCTGTCTATTCTAAGTTTCTACCCTCCACTGGGTTTTCTCTTTTCTGGATCTTCAAGGGGCAGGGGACAGAGGGGCAATACTTTGCTTTTCCCTTTCTTTCTCCAAACATAAATCCTTCTGCAGGTTTTTCCTCACTTACTAACTATGTAGCACATTACAAAGTTACAGGAACTTTTAAGACCTTGCACTTCTGGTCTTTAATGAAATATAAGTGGAACTCAACTTCATTGTCCTTTTGTCTTTTGCTGGCTTACTTTTAAGTCTTTCAGGGACCCAGAATCCCCCAATTGCCATGCCCTCCAGAAGGAAGCCCCATTCCTCATTTTTCATAATTTCTCTGCAAATTCAGAATGAACAAGTGTTTTCTTCTCTTTCTTTTAATTGTGTGGTTCTTTGGAGAGTTTTCATTAAAAAATTAAATATGGTTTTGGATAATAGAGGATGTTTACCCTTTATTCTATACATTTTATGTAATAATTTTCAACCATTGATCTTTTACTTCTAAAATAATACCTCTCCTAGTTTTCTACTCCTACAGGTGTAAGCTCCCCTCACCTTCATCTCTCTCCTATCTCCATTTGCCAGTTTTGATTTCTGGCCAACCCTAGACATAGAGTAATAGCCAATTCATCGGGTAGGATCATGCCATCAGTATAGAAATACTGTGGGAATTAGTCTGACATGCATTTGGGCTCAAATGGCTATAGATGTGTTTTTTGATAAGAAAGAATCCATTCTGCATTCAAAATGTGGATCTAGTGTGTGTTCTTTACAAGGTGAGGGAATATAAATTATTCGTACGGGTTCTTCACTAGGAATGCACTCATTTTGATTGGCATTACTATCATTTATGTAACATTTTCCCAGCCATTCAGTTTGGGTTATTTATTACCTATTATTTTCTAGGCACTCTGCTAGACTGTAGGGTTATAAAGTAAATGACACTATCCTTTTAGCATAAAATTTCTAATTTTATTCCTGAAACTTTTATTAGTGACTTGGCTGACTCTGGGAGGTCACTGGTGAATCTCAGCTGCTCCATTTGTCAGCTGAAGGGCTTGTATTAAGTGATATCAATTTTAAAGCATCTAAAATCAAAAGATACAGGAGATTTAACTTCTTAATTCAGTCATTAAGTTGCTCAGTGCCTTTGAACATAATACTTAGTCTCTGGATCTCAGTCTCCTCCATAAAATACACAGAAGGCACTAGAGCAGGCTAGGAAGCATGTATTCCAAGGAACTTTGTTTCTTGTCCTTTCTAGGAAAAAAAGGTTGTGTCCAAGAAGATCTGGGAAAGTCTAGAGTCAGTAGGTTTCTTAATTCCAGGACCTCTCCGAAACTTTATTCTATCAATTTTGCTTCATAACTCTCTAAGCAGGACTTAGCAGGTAGGTTTCCCAGATTTACTTGACAGTGAAATCCTTTTCCCCCAGAAGCATCTTTGTAGTACTAATAAATTGTCCTTCAGAATACATTTGAAAAATGAATTACTACATACCTTTAAGGCCCTTTATTGCAGCAATACTCTCTATCCTTGGATCAATTTTATGTCATATATGCTAGTTTATGTTCTAATATAGCTGAGCTGTGTGCATTTTATTGGGTTTCCTTTTTATCTTCAAGTGGTACTTTCAAGTCTCTTAGTGCACAGGCTATAACCTTACCAATCTTGAATACATGGCCAGCAAAATCATGCATCTCATTAGCACTTTGGTCAATAGTGTCCAGAACATTATGTTTTGTAGGGAAACATTCCAAAGAGTAGCACAGAGGAGGCTCCTTGGGGGGAGGGAGGAGATAAATGAACATGAGAAATAATAGCATTAGTAGGGCTGATTTCCATGAAAACTCACAAAAATATATTTGACATTTTGATAACTAAATATAGTGCCTCCCATCACAGGACTGCTCTTCCTCCACCAAGACTGTTAAAGTGCAGAGTAACAGAGCTGAATGGCTCCATGCAAAAGTCTGTGTTCAACATCTGTCATGCTGGAGATCATTAATGTTCAATTGCATTCTATTGTCTTCGTGTTACTCAACTTCATTTCATTGTCATTGCTTCAGCTGGGGATTAATCAACTATTTATGGGAAGACAGGACTTGGAGTCAGAGCAGTCTAAAGCAATGGTGAGGGAAGCAAGACAGTTAAAAGACTCCTGATTTGTGAGAGTGTTGATCACTGAATTAAACAAAAATATCTGAGAATAATGTCAACATAATCCATATTTCAAAAGGAGAAAGAACATATTGGCCTTCCTAAAAAATCCAGAAATGATTTTGGCTTGAATCTTTTTGGAGCTTGTTTCTTTGCCACTTTTCCTTAAAAGCTAGAAAGAAGCTGAGAGAAGTTAACGGTTTCTCTGTAAATCAACTCATCATTATCATTAATGATTCATCATTAATGAAATCATGCTTCATTATTGTTCCTGAGGACAGTTGACACAACTGAAACATCCAAGTAGCATGAAGTATTTACAGCTTTATAAGGTGGGGAAAATTTTTTTCATTAGGAATTATTCTTTAAAACCTCACAAATCACTTAGATGTTTCCATTTTGCACATGTATATGCATGATGATTAGTTTTATTCAATTTAAAAGTCAAATTAAATAACTAAGAGATTGTCATCTCAATATATGTCCTGAAAACATTTATGAACCTGTGTCAGGGGACTGGAGTATAAATTCTGAATTTGCCTAAGTTCCAAAACCATGCAATCTAATTATGTAGAAAATAATATACATTTTTGATATACACAATATCTTTTGACAAGTTGTAGTAAATTATTCTGCAGAAAACACCCAAGTTATTTGCACAGTAAAAATTCCAGGTCTGAAATAATATTAGGACCTGCTAATTTGTCCAACTTAATAGCTAAAATAAAATGCTAATATATTCAATCAGCATTATGCAAAATTGTCACACATCGTGACAAAGCAAAATCTTCTAACATTAAAAATCCATATGTCATAATTTCAAGACCAACATATTCACACAAGTCATTTCTGGTAACTTTAAAATCTTGGTTCAGTTTTTGATATGTAAGCTGCCTGCTGATATGGGAAAAAATGGACTAAGCCCTCCCTCCACCCCCACCTTTTTATTCTTTTGGGGACAGCCAGGCCACTCCAGATGGTGTGTTAGTGTTGGACATAGCTTTGGAGAAACTTCCAACAGACGAAGGCTGTAATGTCAGGATTTTGCTGTGCGTCGTCCCCCTTACCCCCCTGCAGTTCCCAGGGTAGGAAGGTGCTGAGATGGAAGCCGAGGGACGCCCACCCACCTGCCACCACCTGTTCCCTTCTTCAGCCCTCTGCTATAAATTCTCCTCCTTCAAAGATTCATCCAGCACGCTCCGACAGCTACTAGGGAAAAAGCGCTCCTTGCCTATCTGAGCTTCGGGAAAGATTTCATCCTCCTGAAAGAAGTCTCAGCTTTCCCAGAGGACTTGAAAGACCTTCCCCGAACCAGCCACACCAATTCTGCTGCAAGAAGTTTCCCTTTTCATTTTCAACTTCACGTTTGGAAAATGACTTTCGTTTCAGCGTCTCTATTTCCCCTAAATTTTGGCAAGTGAAGCAACATCAATCTGGTTATCCAGTAGGACAAAAGGCAGAGCCCAGCACTCCCCACTGCAAACTTTGATTCCACGCTGGTTGCTTTGTGTATGACTTATTTGCTAAGAAGAGCCAAGTTGCAGAGCAGCGCATACATCAAACCACGCACAGGTCCTGAGCCGACGAGTGAGCTCGGCGCCTCCCTCCTTCCTAGCCCGGGATGAAGTCCTGCAAGTCCGGCAACCCGGCGGCGGGAGCGCGTGCCGCGCCCCCGAGTGCCGACGGCGCCGAGTGCGCGGGCACGTGCGCCGGGGCGGGGCGGTTGGAGAACGCGGCGCGCAGGCGCCTCGCGGCCAACGCTCGCGAACGCCGCCGCATGCAGGGGCTCAACACGGCGTTCGACCGCCTCCGCAGGGTGGTTCCCCAGTGGGGCCAGGATAAAAAGCTGTCCAAGTACGAGACCCTACAGATGGCGCTGAGCTACATCATGGCTCTGACTCGCATCCTGGCTGAGGCCGAGCGATTCGGCTCGGAGCGGGACTGGGTCAGTCTCCACTGTGAGCACTTCGGCCGAGACCACTATCTTCCTTTCGCGGGCGCGAAGCTGCCGGGAGAGAGCGAGCCCTACAGCCAGAGGCTCTTCGGCTTCCAGCCCGAGCCTTTCCAGATGGCCAGTTAGGGCGCGCGGCCCCACCGGGATGGGACGCCCAGAGATCGCGCTCGGGAGCCTTCTCCCAAGTAGCTGCTTGGGCTTTCGGTGGCCCGGGATGCATTCCTAGAGTATAATTAGCAAATTTCCAGCTTACTTTTATTCGCATCCCCAGTCCTGTGGGGATGATTTTATTGCTTTCTATTTTTTCCTCTGTAGTATGTTGTAGATTTCATTGATGGGCTCTTGGAATGGTTTTGTTTGCTGAAAATAATGTCCCATCCTCCTTTTCTGGACTTCTTTGGGGGAAAACATTCTTAAGGAAAAATAAGATTAGGTTATACTGCAGGTTTAGTCCTCAGAGAAATAATCGCTTTCTTAAACTTTGTAAGTTTGTCCTGCTAGGGTGAAGTTAAACAGTTATCTATTACTTGTGTGTGCTCTATACCGAGCAGCTTTCCTGTCTTGTAAATGCAGTTATGCTTAGTGCATTGTGTGTGCATGCATGAAGTAGTCAGACTTCTTTCCTTTTTTCTGGAGTGTACATGGGCGTGAGTGCTCTGTATTTTTCAAAACTGTGTATACATTATTAAAATATTGATTTTTAAAATGTAATTTAAAGTGTAGGTTTGTATTTCATGCCAAGTGCCCTGCTAGTTTCCTGATGGCACTAAAGGCCTATTTGTGTGGGGGGTGATGATAGTGAAGTATTTACTCTTACCGGAGTGTTTAATCCCACCAATTTGCTAATGTACTGTTTTGTACTACTTCATAAAAAAAAAAAATAAGCTGATGAGAGTACAAGTAATTAATCTGAAAGTTTTCCCTATCAATGTGTAAATATAGATATATTTTTCATGGTTTCTAAAAAAGATTAAATTAAGTGAAAGAATATTCTGCTTTTAAGTAACTAGATATACAGTTCCTTAGGATTTTATTTTCCTTATTAAGCCAATCTTTACAAGTACCCCCCAAATATATATTTGTTTCTATATATATATATATGAACTAACACTGAGACAAAAAATAATACTTTTGGAAGTGACTTTCTTTTAATCAGTACAAGTTGAGCAATAAGGATTTCACTACCATCGAGGTTAATCAAGAAGGGAGCAAAACAATACACATGGTATTGGTTTGAATTACTTTTATAAATTTTCATAGCTGTTGAATGAATACACCAAACCTGTAATGTAGAGAATTACTTGGTGGTCAACAGCACTTCATGCATTTGGGAGTATGTCTTGCTAATAATTAGAAAAAGGAGGCCTAAGTTATCTGTGCATTTGCAACTTTTCACGAGTCAACAAAAACAACAGTGATGTTTCCCACACCCATTTGTTATGATTCCAACACCTAACATCAGACACAGCTACTTTGCAATTTATCTGTAGAGTCCTCATTAAAATTTTTAATTTCTTTGTTATCCCTAATTACCAACATCCTTTTGTTTTGTGAGTGGCAGTGTCTTTCCCCACCCATAAACGAAAACTTACAAAATCACAAGTGTATCTCTGGAAATCCATTGAGTGACTGACTAATGCTGAATTTCCCTTTCCTTCTGATACCTGTTATTAAGAAACTGAGGTGGACTCAGGACTTTGCTTCCTCAGTGCAAATCAGAGAGTAAAATGTTTAACCTCTTGACATCAACAGCTCTCAGAAGACACAATGTTGTGCCCAGACCCCTTTCAGGCCACACTCCGCTCTGCAGTTTGCACTTGGGCTATGGCAATGCTCAGGGTATCTGCCTTCCTCACTCTTGGAGAACAATAGTCTGCTTAGACTTAAAATGATTCATTAATAACCCCAGTAAGTTTGTAGAATTTGTAGAATGAATGAAATCAGTGCTAAAATTTAATTAAATGCTGTGTTAATTAGAGAAGGTCTCACAGATGCATTAAGATTGTTAGCCCTTCTTTAGGTAGGGCGCATCCCTCTCTCTGGGCTCTAAATACCTTGCAAAAGAGAACTGTACTTTTCTCTGTGGCTTCTAGAACAGAGATAAACATGAAATAAATATTTCTTTTTTGGTCATTAACAGGAGTTTCTTAATAAAACAAACAATTTAATTACAGTGATGGGATTCTAATTCCATGCCTCTTTTCCCCATCCCCACTCCCCCAAAAGAGTGGAAATCTATTAAATATTACACTTTAGCTGCCCATTTCTGTGTTTTGGAAATCTCTGGAAGCAATTTAGCTCTTAGCAAATTCCTAAGCTTTCCACCCTACTCGATGCACTATTTTTTTCTTGAAAGATATTTGAGGGAAAAATAAATGGATCTCAGCGATAAAATCCAGTCTTTGATAAAACTCCTCAAACTGTATGTTGAGGGAATCCATCATGGTTTATAGATTAGGAACTTGGATAATATAAATGTAAAATAATTTTGAAGTTAAGATTCATATATTATTTTACATAATAGAATTTAGATTACCAAGCAACCTACAAGTTGCGACAATATTCTATATTGTTCACCTTTTAAAATCGGAGTTCTTTCTAGTTTGACAACAGGACATGTTGAAATTCAAAAATATCCTTTTACCTGGGCTCCCTTTTCTCAGTAAATCAGCAAATATTATCAAGTACGTAAGCATAGCCTGGCTTACTCAACATCATCATTGTCCTTGCAGAAGAAGCCAGGAAGAACACACATGACTGATCAATACGGTTATTCTGAGCAGAGTAGAGCTGAATGCTTCAGCAGTGTAGTATCAGAAATATGTGCCGTAAGGGCTACTAAGGGGGCATTAATAATAAAAGAAGACCCACTCCCAGGCAGGGTTTGAGTTCCATTAGTTACTATATGTGGGCTCTTCCTAGGTGCCAGCTGGAGGTTGAGGCCAAACCCCAGGGTCAAAAGTCTGAGTAACTGCATACAAATGAACCAGGCTTTCAAGGTGGAGAAATGCCATCTAAGCTAGTGGTTCTCGACATTGACTGCTCATTAGAATTTACACATCGGGAGTCTTGTAAAATATACTAAAACTCATCTACCTTTCCTTTAAACTAAGCACCCAACTCCACACCTCGTGGCCTTTCTCTTGCCCTCTGAGACTCTGTGGAGTGTACATCTCTCTGAATAAATCTACTTTTACTCAAAAAACAAAAAACAAACAAACAAACAAAAACTGGGGCCTCCAGCTCAAGAATTGATTTAACTGCGCTGAGGTAAGGCCTAGACATAGATATTTTTTAAATGCTCCCCTGGTGATTCTAACTTAGGGTTGAGAACTGCTTATTTAAATAAGGTCTATTATGACACCATTAACCTCATTATCAAAAGCTGATTATATTGATGTTCCATTCTTTGTATCTGCAGATCTTAAGAAGGACTAGGCTATCTTTCTTCATATCCAATACTGCCAATTTCTTAATGAGGTGACCTTTATAACAATGAAGATCTAAAATTTATGCAGGATATAAGCCAGATGGAGTGTTTTGGGTTGTGGTTAATAGTGGTCTAGGATTCAACAATTAAGGCTCAGTTCACTTAAATTTTGCCATCTTATAGTAAAAGCAAAGTGCTATTTTGGACTGAATTTGGCTCTGTCGTCTGATTAGGTGTCACTAAATGTATCTCTTATTGCTGCTTGTGGTGAAAGGAATTTCAAAACACATACAAGACCATAAGTATATGACCAAGTTTCTCACCTGTATACCCATTTCCTTCTTTGGTCATGAATTACTAGAGGGTGCAAGTTTTAACAAGTGTTTTATTGAATTGACACAGGGTTTTTGGATTGCTATTTTTAACTTCTAGTGTATCCAAAAAATACCCAAGCTGAAAGAAAACTACTGAGAGCAAGAACTTACCCATCTCACATACAGAGTCTGGGACCAAAACACAAAACAAAAACAAATCCAACAATTTACTGAGAATAAATAAAATTTTATTTAATGAATAAAGAAACAGTCCATCACATCCTCTAAATTGCTTTCTAAAAACATCCAGGTTGAATTAAATACTGGTTCTTAATTTTTATTTTTCATCTTCTAATTGCAAAGTTTCAAAACAAAACACAGCCGCCAACAACTCTTTAAGAAAGCACAGTTAGGAAACAGTATCAGGTGTCATGGAGATGATGTGGTCTACTGGAATACAGTACCAAATATTTTCTGAAGAAAGACGCAGTTAATGCTTACAAACATTTTGGTTTAAGCAATCATTGGTTTTCAGTCCCAAAGAATATCTAACATGCACAATGCAGAAGAAAAGGAATACAAGCCAAGATCCAGTAATTACTTTCTAGTAATAGAGGCAAAATATACAGTTTACATAGTTCACACATTTCAAATGGCTACTATAATAATTTTTCCATTAGGATTTCAGTAACCGAAAAAGAAAATAAGTTGACTCAAGCTTCCTATGATGGAAGCATATCATGTTTGTGAGCCTTCTGGGGCCTTGTGTGTTTTCAAGTGGAAAGAACTCACGCAGGAAGAGAAAGGAAAAGCTTTAAGTCACTTGATTCTGACTGAATTAAGTTAGCTTGGGTGTGTGCGTGTGTGTATGTGTGTAAGTGCAATGCCTTTGGGCACACGTGCATCCTTTGTCAGTCCCTGTGCCTGAAATGAATCATGGATGTTAAATTCAGACTTGATGTAGATAAGAACTTGAAAACAGAGACCAAAGGATATGCTCATTTTTGAGGGCCCATGTCTATCTGTTATCCTAAGGTTGATTCATTTCAACATAAAGCCATTGACATACTAGCGTGGAACGTTTCTTCATTAGAGCCTGGAACATTACAGTGGAGTTGTCCTGAACTGCTTAAGCCAGAAAGTAACACAGGAACTCCTGCTATTTCTCTGTGCACTGTGGAGTCATTATTTCCACGAGCTTCAGTCACAGATGTGGGAGTCAGATTTCCCTTAGGCTATTCTATTTATATTGAAATAAATTTCCTTGGTATCTGCCTGCAGAAAGCAGATAGGATATTTCTTGAATTTATTTGATATTTATTTGATTTTTCTCCAAGTTTTTTCCAATGATATACCATCTTGGAAGAAGAAATTCCACCATTGTGTACTACCCTTCTAAGGGAACACAAAGTAGTGGGACAAGCAAGAAATGTGAACTTTTTAAACAAATTAGCTACTTACTTTTATTTTTAATATTTTCTTTGGAATGAAAAAAACTCTGTTACCACCTTTTAAAAGGGGCTCTATAGTAAACTCTTCTTAAATATTTAATTATCCTACCTTCTATCCTGGGAAAGTCTCAAATATTTTGCTTATTTTACAGATAAAGAAACAGAGATCCCAGAGTTAAGAAAAATTAGAGAACATGTCAGAAAATCATCTGAATGATTAAAAGTCCCCATTGAAATTCACCAGAGAATTCCTAGAAATAAGGAGCTCTCCAAATACTATTAAACATTTGACAGATTTTTATCTTGACAGGGAGATAGTGAGAGAGAAGAATATGTCATGAAACTTGATGCTAAAGACTGGGAAAAGCAAGCAAACTAATCAGAAAAGAGGATAAGGTATCTCTGAAATCAAAATACTGAAGAAATAAAAGTTAGTGTGTTTAAAAATGCAATATGTGTTTAAAAAATGCAGATACACTCATATGATCTCATGTGAATTATTTCAGCATTTTAACTCTCCTTAAAATACATAGTAAAACCGTTTATACTAGGTGCATGTGCATTTATCAATCTTTTGGTAGTGATTGCTACTGTCAATACTAGTATATATAGTTCACTGGATTTTTGCACCACTAATTGTGGGGAAATTATAAGAATCTGCCGAGTTTGCAGATAACTCACTGAATCTGTCTAGAAACATCAGGTTCTTGGAATTTTAGAACATCGAGCAATTCAGTCTTACCATACTATATGAAAATAATTCATGTTTCTTAGTGGGTATTTAAACTATTTTGTTATCTATTGTAGCAAAACTATACTTGTATCTCCATTAACTTACAATCTAAACTGGTCAAGCCTCCTTTCCCTCATCTTTCCCATCTTAAAGTCTCATTTTAATGTGCCCCTGTTTTCAGTTAGGAGGCAGAATGAACTTTTATCTTAGAAAGTAAAAGAACATACTATAAGAAGTTTATTGGATTTGCTGGATATTTTAGGAAGACTAAAACCCAGTTATCTTTCTGTTCCTCTAGTGATATCTTATCTAACCAGATTATAACATGTGGTAATTTATACAATTTGAATAATTTTTTAAAATCACTTTTAAAGTATCAAATATACATATTTGTACATTACAAATTGGTTCAATCATTATCAGAAATCAATCTTTAAACCTGGAAACTAGCACTGTTTTCTGCATTTTAAAGAAAAGTGCACATTTATTTCAGCCTTAAAATATTTATTGTCAAATAATGTCAAAATAGTTTAATTTTTATTAGTAGGGCAACAGTTTCTATTCACTTATATGTTAAATCTTTTAGCAAATTAGTGTTTATATGCCTGCACAGCACAGCCACTTTCTTTACGCTTACTCTCAGCATTTATGGCTCAACTCTCAGAGGACTGAAAAGTCTGTTCTCTATTTCTTGCAATTTCAAGGCTATTGCTCTACAGAGTTTGAAGTGCCCATTATTTACATAGTAAAAGGCAGCCTGTTTATGATTTTATAAGACCAAGTACGCTAACTAATATAATTACACAGAAATAAGAGGCAAACATATTTTTAACAAATATGCAATTTTTTTTGCATCGCACAGATTTTTAAAAAACATGGTATTAGCAACTTTTTTTTTAGCATACTGATGACCACTGCATTGTCAAAGTGTAGAATAGAAGGTGCTTCTCATTCTTCAAGCAATGCTTCAGTAATTAACTTTCTGAAATATTGATCCACTTAAAACAAGAAAAGGCAATTAGTGGTAAAAAGAACTTCAAAAAGCTCAGCTGCAATCTAAGGAAGTGTTCATCTTACTGGTGAGGGAGGCACAATGATTTTTCAACTCAACCATCATGGAAATACTTTGAGTCCAGGTTACCCTGGAAGGGACCTTGAATAAAGGTCATTATGAGTAAATTTGCCTTTGAGTTTACAACCAACTTATAAATAGCCCATATACAAACAGACTCAGGCCAAGATCTCAGCTTGGAAAGTACTTTAGTAGTGTGTGGGGAGGAAGAGGACAGGAGGAGGTTATGATCAACAAAAAGAATTTGGGTGTCTGACTCAGTCAGTTTTCTAGGTCTCCCCTCACAGCCTGATTTTTCCCCTCCTTGCCAGCAATTCTATCAATTAGAAGTTGATGGGAGTAAGAAGGCAACTGCTTTAAACTGAAGTTAAAAGACTCACAGGCATTCAGATTTGCTCAATTGGACTGCTTTCTTCTGAACACCAAGCCAAGGTGCATGAAATGGGAGTTAGGTCAATTTGGAGCATGAAGCGTGCTGGCAGGCTGTGGGGAGGGGTGTGAGAGGGGATGGGTAATTCCACGGGGGATTACAGAACATGGAGCGTAGGGCACCTCAGGAGAAACAAACAGAATAGGGGAAAGATGCAGAAAGGACCATAGACAGTGTAGCTTGGATACATCAGAAACACGAAAGAGGAGGAGGAAGTTGTCTTGCTTCTTTCTATTGGCTGCTTGGTAATTTGGTTTTAATAGTGCATTTTCTTTCTCCATTTTTCTTCTGATCCCCATTTCTATGACTGACCATGTTACAAAAAGCCCTTCACTTGTTTGAAAATAAGGGTGCTTATGGGATCTGTATGGTTTTTTGAAGCAAAGAGTCAGAAGAATTGCACCAACTTTCTCTCTTTCCCCGTCAATTTTTGCAGGTTTTTGAACTAACTCTGAGGGCTTCATGAATGCTACATGTCCAATGAGTGTAGTGCAGAATAGTAGGGTCTAATAAGGCCAAAGTGCTTGTTGATTTCTACTTTCCAGGCATGCACTGCATGTGCAACAAGGAGGGAGGATAGTCTTCACCGATGTCCACGCTGCAGCCTTATGCTATCTGCATCCCTTGGAACTTTTAGGGTAAGTTCTGTGATCAAATCATGTTAATAAAATGACTCTTAATCTCATTGCTCATTGGGATTACCTGGGAAGCTTAAGAAAATACCGATGCCTATGAAGGAACCCCAGAGCTTATGACTTACTGATTTGGGGTTGTGGCTTGGGCATCAGGATTTTTAAAAGCTCCCCCAGGAGATTCTTATGTGCAGCCAAGGTTAAGAGCCACTACTAGACTCTATTTGCTTTATATAGAAACATCCTGACTTACCTAGAATTTTAAAGTATTTTCAATTTAGGTCAAGAAATATTTATTGAATGCCTACTCTGTATAAGGCACATGGTAAGCTTTTGACACAGTCCATACTAACAAGTAGCTAAAATCTAGTGCAGACAAGACTGAGCTAGTGCAAGGGGAAAGACAGGTATATAGAGGCTGTGTTTTATATTAAATATTACACAAACTCTTCTCTTCCAGACTAAAAAATGTTACTATAAAGTTTCAAAGTAAATAGAATATTTATTGGGGTTTGGGGGTGGGGGTCAGAAAATATTTCATAGAGGCAGTAAAGTAGCATTTGAGATGGCTTTTAAGGGATGGGTAAGATTTCCATAGGTGGAGACTGGGGAGAAAGCCTTCCAGGTGGAGGCAAAAACAGAGCCATGTGGCTGGAAAGCAGAGGCCTGTGTTAAATTTGCTCGTGAACTGAGTATGTTTTCTGAGGAACAGATGAAAAGCTTTAGGATCATATTGCAACAAGCCTTGAATTCCACAGAGCAGAACAGCTGGTACCTGGGTTGACTCCAAGGAGCCACTGGGGGTTCGAAAATTGGGGAATGATATGATTGGAGCAGGAAGAATGATCTGATGCTGAGATCTAGGCTAGATTTTGAGTGGGGAGAAAAAGCAGGACTAAAGGCAGAAAGACTGGTTAGAAGTCTCTTATAATAGTTGAAGTCAGCAGTATTGAGGGAAATTAAGAAAGTACTGAAAGTCTGAACTGGGGAACTATAAGAGGATGGAAAGAAAGGCCTGAATATAAAAGAAATAATAGAGTTAGAAATAACATGATTTGTCAATCGACTGGAAAGAGGAAGCAAAAAAATGACTTGAATACACTTTACTTGGATTATTAGGACTGTGGTTGATGCCATTAATAGAATCATTAAACTAGAATGAAGAGTGGTTTATGAAAGTGAAGATGATGAATCTGACTTTGGATATGTTGAGTCCAAACATATCCAGTGGAACTAAAATTTCTTATATACATATATCTCACTGCAATTGAATTCCAATAGAATTTGGATTTATTCAACACAGTAGTTCTCAACAAAAGGGAATCCTGCCTCCCAGGGAATATATGGCAATGTCTGGGGACATTTTGGGTGGCCACAACTTGGGGAGGGGCTGCTCTGCTACTGGCACCCAGTGCGCACAAGCCAAGGATGTTGCTAAACATCCTATAGTGTTCAGTACAGTCTGCTGCAACATTGAGTTATCCAGCCCCAAATGTCAATAGTGCTGAGGTTAACAGAAACCCTGCTGTTAACATAATCCAATAGTTGAAATTCCAGGAATTTTGAAGCTTGCTATAGTTTAGGTTCGACAGTGCCATCTAGTGGCCAAATAAAATATTTATCCTAGTTCTATGTTGAATGCTGTAAAACAACATTCAAGATTAAAAAGTATTCAGAAAGCGAAGACATAACGAGATGAAGAAAATCCTTTCATGGGAGAACGGTCTAGAATTTACATTAACAGATGTAATGAGGAGGTTGGGTGTACAACTGTGGGGAAGCAATCCTGGAGTTAAAAAGTGCTTTTTGGTTATAAAGAGATTAGCGAATAGAAGCCAATATGAAAACAGAACATTTTACAGGACACATTCTATGTGGAATGCATTCTACTTCATTCCAATTGCCTAGTCTTTTACTATTGTTCCTGTATACACACAAAAGGAAAAAAATCTAATAATTTTGCTAAATAACTGCTTGAAATCTTTATTTTTTAAGGATGTAACCTATGATATTTTGTTTAATTAAGAAATAAAGATTGAAAATAAGATAATTTTAGGGTCATGAAAAATATAGGATGAGGAGCACTAGAAACTTCTCTTTGATAAATAATAGATTTTTTGCCCCAAGAAGCAGCATGTGACAGGTCTTTTATCTTTCTTCCCCCACTAGATTGTAAGCTCCCTGCAGGCAGGGACTGTGTCTTAATCTGCGTATGGCCCACAGACTGTAGTGTAGCATCTTATACAGAGTAGATACACAAGTGATTTTTTGAGTGAATGAATTTATTTTTATCCTGGAAATCCTTGCCTTGAAGTGGGGAACATTTTAAGCCTTTCTAAGCAATTACTATTTGTTCACTTGAGTAAGATGCCACCTGAGGGTGCCTGGCTCAGAGAACCCCAGAGACTTGGGCACAGGGAGTTGGTTACAGACTTTGCAATTCATTTCCCTGGTAAATCTGGAGCTCACTGTGCTGTGCTGACCATTCCTAGGGCAACTTTTTGACTGGTGCATGCATTGTAGATTTCTTTAATGTAAGATTCATTTATCCAACAAATATTTATTGAATGTCTACTTTGTGCTAAGCACTCTTCCAGGCACTGGGATAGCGCAGTGAACTTAAGTCTAAAAACTCCTTAAGTGGAGAGGGAGGTTTTGAATGGGTGGGTTAGAATAAAGGTGCACATTCCCTGTTTCTCCCACCTTCTCAGTTAGCATAATATTTTCTGTATAGAAAATGCAATTTGACTAATGATCTCCAAGCATTTCACAACGATTAAAGATCTCTCCTTCCATAACCACTGCTTTGCTCGGGTAAATGAAAAAACAAAACAAAATGAAACAAAACACCCTCCTATCACTTCCTCTCCGTGTTTGCATCTCTTCCTTCCTCACTGCCTCATAAACTTCCAGACTTCTGGGGAGAGGGGAGGAGTGGGAGAGTCAATATTCTGTGGGTAGAGGAGGATGATGACTGAGTGTTTTGCAAATGGCAATGGAAACTAATAGTTTTAAAAGTGACCCTGCAGAAAATTTCTTTCTGGTTGGTTTATTTACAATCCTATAGTTCTAGAATCTAGGGATAGACAAAGAAAAACCACTCACCATTGTATCCAAAAGAAAATGGTGCAGACAGGCTAGTGGGGCCCTGTTTTGGCTGTAGAATAAGTGCACTGTGCAATATTGTTTCAGTGATTTTTTTTTTTGTTATCTCAAAGACATTTTGATACTTTTTATGTGGCTCAGTACACCCAGGATTAGCAAATCAAAAGTGCTTCTCCACATACGTGAGTTTATGGCATGCTCTCCTAGTGCTAAGTAGAAGTTGATTTAATGAATCTACCAAGACTATTGCTATGGCTGTAATCATCAGTGAAATGTGATGGAGACCTCCTCTACACCCCACCCTGCATTTTCCTTTGCACTGTTTGGTGAGTTAGTGATACCTAAGGTCATTACTACCTAACTCCTCTCAGCCCAAGCACCTGGCCCCTAATTGCTCCTAGTGTGGCCTAAACACCCCTAACACAGCAGGGGGCAGGGGAGCATGCTAGCTTTTCCCCAAAGCAGTCGATGTCACCTGCATGACATTTGGTTCATCTATATCATCTTCTCACATTTTTGTTGGAATCTTTAAAAGGCACAGCCCTACATCTCTCCTCCTGCTGAGACTGCAAGAGTCCCCAGCTGACTTACGCAAAGCACTCCTTGCCACAGGTCCAGCAGTGTGGGAACGTACTCAAATCCAGCTGCTTGGAAACTATGGTACCTGGCTCGTCCTCCTTCCCCCTCCACAGTCCGCCCCCTTGCACAGCAGGCACCCAGACATTTTTAAAGTTCATCACTCTCCACTACACTCCGAGAAGAGCATGAATACACCATTGTGCTTTCCATGGAGGAGAAAGCAGAGAAGATGTCAAGTCCTTTACTGGTGAGAGATCCGTAGCGACTGCCACTGGGCCGGAGGGACATGGGGGGTGGGATCTGGTGGTGCCACTGAGCTGGAAAATGGACCAAATAACGTGTTATGATCAAAGGAATACAATGTAGGTAGGTACATGCAGGGCTGCATTCTGTCCTCACTCCAACACTTTCTGCAGGGTCTTGGTAAAGTATTGAAATATATCTGGGTCATTTGTAAAAGAAATGCCTCATTTGTAGAAGAGGGCAGTAAAGTCTCTCCTTCCCTATCAGGAATAGAGAAATTGGGCTGGTGATTTAACCCCAAATTCTAAACTCCACGATTCTAATCCAGTAAAATCTGGGACTGTAAGAAGTAAGAGTGGGGTGGCTAGGGTGATTTCTCAGAATTATCTCCTCTATGACCTAGCATGGAGTCTGCTAGGGGGAGTGTAGAGAGGGTGATAGGCTCTCAAGAGAGGGCACCCCAAAAGGTGGAGATAAAAAGTCTGTGAAAGTGGAAGCCAAAAGATGAGTTCATTCCTCTGACCAGAACCCACTGCACACCCCAGTCACCCTAAACAGTCATTACCGACCTACCACCGTAATCATGTTGTAATGAGTTACAGCAAGAAGACTGAAAAGTAACTTATGTGCAATCAACCATATTTCAGGATTTTAGGATTTTATAATATCTCAGGATATTAGGATGACCAAGCACCGTCCAAAGGAGATCCTGTTTTTAGCAGACAGGATCCTTAGGCTTGAACATGACCTGAATGAAATACCCATCCAAACTGCTCGGTCCTTGGTGTTGTCTCTGATTCAGAAATTACCAAGCAGTCTTCTCCTTAGGTTTCCGAGGACCTTGATGTGGGGAAGAGGGAGCACCAGGTGGGGATCATTGACGCTCTGGGTCCTCAAGAGCTACGGATCCTGTTAGCGTTCCCATTTATGGATTGGTCCTTTGTTGATTTCAGGATTTTGATTTAGTTTTTCAGAGTCTGAATACCTCTGAGTGAATTGATAAAGTCAAATTTCGAAAGCTACAGAAAGGGACACACCTTCCGGCGACTCCACAAAAGACAGGCACTCAGCAAGGCAGCCGCGAGCAGCTCGTCAAGCCCCCTTCCCCGCGCGCGCGCCCGCGCCCGCCCCCCGGGCCCTCCGCCTCTTCAGCTTCCCCTGCGCTCCGACGCCTGACGCGGGCTCCTCGTGCAGCTGGAAGCGCCCCTTTCGGGGAGAGAGGGGAGCCCAGCGTCCGGCTTCCTCAGACAAGTAGGAAATGGTGGTGGTGGGTGGGAGTAGGGGCCGGGGGTAGGGGGGTAAATGGCTGAATGTAGCCCCAGGCCCCCGTCCCCTCCCCCTCTGCCCTGTCCCGGCTGAGGAAACACCGCCTCGTGTTGTTAGTGCGGCGGAATCGGCACAGGAGCCAGCGGGGCGTGAGCGGGGACCAGCCATAGCCGGCACTCAAGACTGGAAGTTAGAAAGGCGTTTCAGGGCTTATTGGTCCTGAGTTTCTTAGTTGAAGACCTGTTTCCCTCTGACATGGTGATGTGAGTGAAATAGTTAAGGCGTTTAGCCTAGATTAAAAAACATGTCAGCGGCCTCTCTCTCCTCGGACTCTCCCAGGGGAAAGTACATTAGCGTCAGCTTCTCTCACAGCTCAGTTTCTTTTCAAGTCCACGGATAAGGGTAAAGAACCAGAAAGCAGTATATTACCTAGGGAAAACGACAGGCCAAGGCCCCTCCTCTACGGTACTCAGAAAAGGGAATACCTGGTGTGCACCTGGAGATGACTGGAACTTCAGATTCTAGGCAGAGGTACTCTTATTTGTGATGCATCGTGTTAAACCAGTAATGAATAAGAAACTTATTAGGCTGACCAATATATTTTTTTTTAAGGAGAAGAAAAAGGATTACTCTTTCAGGTTGGGGACTATGTCTCCAAAAATACCAGTTAATGTCAAAATTATAGGGGAGAGGAGTAGAGTACACAGATACATTAGTAAAGATTAACTTGTGAATCTTTTTGAAAATCAGAAACATGGCTCAACGGAGCCATGCAAAAACCCGGATTTGCATTCCTACTATAGTCAATTAACCTAAGTCTCCAGGTTTCTTCAGCATTTAAGTGAGGGTAACAACAATTACCATACTCTCCTGGGTTTGGGAGGATCTAAGGGTACCATTTCATAAATTACAAGTCACTAAAATCATCTGATATTATTATTAGGACAGCTTTCTATTATTAGTCTGATTTTGGGATTGGGGTAATAAATATTTGTAGAATGAATTAACAAATGAATAGGGTCTGGAAAATTCTGCTGGGTGGCTGTATGGCTGAGGAAATGACAGGCAGTGGGGAGGGAGTTCCAGTGGGTGACCCAGGGCAGTAAGGAGTTGGCATGAAGATGCTGGGTGATCAGAAGTACAAGCCTCGGAACGCTCTGCAATCAGCTGTAATTCCCAGTATTAGAAGCCCAGAAAAATTAACCTCTTTTGGAAGACGATTAACCTTATAGTAAAATGGAAAAGTATATAAAAGCCCTGAGGTGACTAGGATGAAATGACTTTAAAAGTCCATCTCTTTTAAGTGCTAAAATATAATCTGACCAATTCATTTATGAAAACATACTACACCTATTCTTCAAAAAAAAAATTTGTTGGGGGGGGATAGGTCATTAGGTTTATTTATTTATTTATTATTAGTTGTTTTTTTTTAATGGAGGTACTGTAGATTGAACCTAGGACCTCGTGCATCCTAAGCATGCACTCTACCATTTGAGCTACACCTTCCCCTCAGAAAGATTTTTAAGTTGCCTCTCACACACAGATTTTCAACTGATGCCATTACACCTACCATATATATCCAACCTGGCAGTGCACGACACGATGCCGGCTTCATTCTTGGCTGACAATGTGTACCATCCAGCATCTGATTTCTTTGCTGGCTGAATAAGGAGGCAGACATACCCAGTTGTGTCCTGGTGCATGCTGAAGGAAAGAAAGAATATATGTGTATTGTATCTGGGGGCAGAAACAGTCTTGAGTTTAGGGCTCTGGGAGACCCAGGCAAATTGAGCAGTGCTCTGGTCCCCCTTCCCTTCTAGACCCTGGGGAGGGAGGGAAGAGGACTCAGTTCTAACCACGCATCAGAGGCAAACTTGAAGGTGGAAAGAAATCACAAAAGAACAGCAGGTAACGTAGTGAGGCCAAGATGAGAGTTGACAGCTGTGGCTGAGACCTTGCCTTTGCCACTGTTCTACCAAGGGCACCCCTACTTGTCACAACCAAAGTCCAGAAGAATCTCTTTTCCAAACCAGGTTGGACATTGCAACAAGAACTTTGTTAAGAAGCTGTGGGAGAGTAGACTGAAAGAGTCCAGGGATAAATGAACTGTTAGCATGGAGAGGGTATTTGTTAATATAAACAACAGGGCATGGCAGCATTTAGCATAATGCAGCTCAGGAGCAAATCAGTATGTTCTCCTGTTTTCTCAACATCAGTATTTCTCAGCTTTGACTGCATATTACTCTCCTGGATAATTACACCAGAATTTCAGGCCGGGTTTAACACATTTCATTAATTTACACTGAAGTGTTAACTCAAGAATATTCTCTGTTCTTGCATATGTCTTAACAGAAAAAAATCCTGACCTATATATATACATAGACTTTTTAGATGCCAAAATTCTGCAAACCCCAGCATCCTCTGGGACAAATTCAGCTTACTGTGAAGAAATAATTCTCAGTAGGAATTTCTGGACGCAAGCTGCCTTTGTGGTATGAGACCAAAATGGCAAAGAATTAAGGATGTTTTCGAGAAATTAAGCAAGGCACCCACTTTAGGAAAATGGATCCTTAAAGTTACTTGAAAAACAGCCATGTGATGACGGATGGAGAAGGAGTATTGCCTTAAAATTTTGTTTTGCTTGATTTTATTTTAGCTTTTTACTGTCAGAAGGTTTTCTGGGTACTAATATGACTGAAGACACATGACCAAAAAATATGCACGATCTTTATAAATTCCTTGTAGCTTTTCAAGCTTAAAAATTAAGGCTTTAAAACTGGGATATCTATACAATGGACTACCACTCAGCAACAAAATGGAGTAAATTTTTGATACGCACAATAACATGGATGAAACGCAAATACGTTAGGTTAAGTGAAGGAAGCCAGATTCAAAAGGCTGCAGACTTATTTGGGCGGCCCCACACACCTCCCCATCAAGCTTGGACATGGGTGGAGGCTGTACCTGATCCTCTCTCTGGTGAAAGGGATGGTCTCGTTGTCCTTCTTCCAGTAGAACACGGGCGGAGGCATGCCTATCACCCTGCACTCCAGTCTCACTGGGTGGCCTTCGGGAACTCCACTGTTCTGCAGTTTCTCCAGGATCACAGGCGCTTTCTTCACTTCTTTGGCTGAATGAGAGGAGGACCATGATAGTTTGAGTAGGAAATGCCTTGGGGTCTGTGCCTCAGACTCATTACAGTTCTCTTAGTGAAGATCACTGCCTTGGTAAAAGCTCCAGAAGTGATTAAAAAAGAAATGAGGAAACTGTCTCTGCCTATTTTATGAGAAACAACACTCAAGGATTTGGGTGACACACATGGGATGCAAATGATAGGTGTGAAATTAAGGGAATTTTTATTTATTGCTCAGCAGTAAATTTTGAGAAATGATATATTTTAGATACTAAGTATATCTTTTTGTGTTTTTTAGAGGAGTTCATGTTGTAGAATATATGTTCATTTCCCCTCAACTTTTTATTTCGAAAAATTTTTATAGCTACAGAAAAGTTGAAAGAAGTATACTATTGAAAAAAAATTATGCTTCCTAAGAAGCCTTTTTTTCCCCACAGAACCAGTTAAGGCAAAGATACCTCATATCTCAGGGTTTCCAGAGTCAATACTTTAGCAAAATAGCAGGGGAAAAAAGTAAAAGCTGCAATCAAAGTGTCCTTGCAGAATGGGCTCTTCCTGTTCTGTTAGTGAGAAGGAACTAAGAGTGAGAAAAAGAAAAAGATAGAATGAGGAAGCGGTACTAGCCTAGAGAGAGGATTAGCATTCTGAAGCCACGCTGACTTCCTTCAGGGGCCATCCAAGGGAGACAGCAGGAGAAAGCCCGGCATGAGATTTTGTAGGTTCTGAAATTAATTCTGGCTGAACTACTGCCCTGAGGAGCTGGCACCTCCCAGGTGCTGATGACTTGTCATTCTTATCTGTAGGCATTAACACTGTTTTATTCACATAATCTTATAAGGTAAGGGTTCATTTGTTTAGTTATCGATTCAACATTTGTTGAACATCTGTGTTCCAGGCACTGAGTCAGACATCCGAGATACACAGAACAAGTCAGAATCTCTGACCTGGGAAGCTCTCTTCAGGGAGGCAAAAGAAAATATTTACACAGAAGGCGGTGAGTGCTCTTAGAGTCTCTTCTTTACTGAGTGCTGTGGAGACAGCAGAGGATGTGCCTGGTGGATTCACTGTGCCTTTGTGGTGACATTTGAAGTAAGCCTCAGAGAATGAGTAGGAGGTTGCTAGGCAAAGAAGGGCATTTCAGGTAAAGGGACCATTGATGCAAAGGCATGGATGCTTGGGATGGGGGAGACCCTGGTATGTTCCAGGAGTGGTGTGCTGTATGGCAAGTGACCGGAATTTAGCTATAGTCAATTAATTAGTGATTCATTAATTGATTAATTGACTATTACAATAACCACCACTTATTGCATGCATGATATGCACAAGGTACCATATTATGTTTTTAGCTTACTGATATGTTTTTGACAGCGATGTAGGAAACATGACCCTTACTACAGTGTAGGAGAAACAGATATGATTTGGTGGGGCAAAGAACTCAGGAGTGATATCACAGGCTCTGCATATTTGGGCAATAACTTTGGAGGGAGTTATGTTTAGGGGTCCCAGCAGCAAATCTTACCTACTACAGTGAGCTCCAGACTAAAGGAATTCTGCCCGGTTTTGTTGGTAGCAATGCAGGTGTAGGTCCCTGCATCATGTTGAGTGAGTGGGTCAATGAGTAGAGAGTGGACTCCGGTCTCCCTGACCAGCATCTTGTGGGAGGCGTCTGGCAGCACAGGCTGGCCATTGAGCAGCCACGTCAGCTCCGGGGGCGGTAAGCCACTCACCTAATAAACAACAGGACAGCTGAGGCAAATGACAAACTGATGACAAGCAGATTTATCTGGTGGCTGAATTCTTCATCCTGGTCTGGCACCAAAAGGATAGTGAGAGGGAATGTGGAGTGGTGACAAACCTCTCTGCAGGAGCATCAGGGTAAGAGGGATCTGGATGAATGGCCACATGAATTTAAATCAGATAGTATTTTGACTCCAGTTTGGGTCATGATTATATTCTGGATTAGAATAAATAAGAATTAAAAAGCTAACTATATAAAATAGGCCTGCAGTGTCAGTTTCAGAGATGATACATTGCTTACGTGCCTAATAAGCAAGAGGGAGACAAGAAAAGGACAGACATTAAACCAGCGTTCTCAAAGCTTGCTGTGTATCATAATTACAAGAAGAGTGTTTGACAATCCTGGTGCCCACTTACTATATTGAATCAGAATCTTTGGGGATGGGACCCAGGCATTGATATCTTTTAGGGTTTAGGGTGGAATATGTCAGCAATCAATCCCAAGTGTTATTAGACAGCTGGTGGGAGAGCAAGAACTACCTAGAGGAGCGGATTCTGTAAATGCTTAATCTGGAGCTGCTTCTAATTTGCATCTAAATTTCTATAGCATTCTACATCTTTGGGGCAGAAGGGGTAACTTAAGTTTCTGTTCATACTGAGAAATGTCCATGCTGTTCAGTTGAACATAGATTCTGAAGTAGAATGTAGACTAGCTAAAGGTGACAGATTTGATTAGTATGAGAAACCAGCCTCTGTTTTCATCAAGTGCCTTGGAGCCATCTTTTCAAGACTATAATTTTTTCAAAGGCTGTACTTCACAGTTCACTTCAAGGATGCAAAAATCATCCTTTTGGCTTTATGGTAATAAAGACTTTCCAGGCATCATATGGAAAACATCTACATTTCATCACCGTTTTGGTTGTCCTTTACCAGTGCAGAGTTAACATCATACAATAGCAGTGTAATTTTTATTGACACTTAAAATTTTTATGAAATACTTTTGTTTGGTATTAAATGGTCCAAAAGAACCTTGTGAAAAAAATAGTGATCTTTCTCTCTTCCCCAGCCCCGTTTCCCTGAAAAACAAACAAAACAAAACCCATAAAACAAATACAAACGAAAGTGTGTGCAAACAAACAAATACAAAATATGAACAAATCTGGAACCAAGGACGGGTGCTAGAGTCTACCTTACAATCCAGGCGACAGAGGCGCCCCTCGTGAGCTACCATATCCCCAGGAGCCTGCAGGAAGTGTGGTCGGAAAAAGCGTTCCTGGAGGGGCTCTTTGTCTCTTTCTTGCACTCGGGACCTTCCTCTAGAACAGCAAGCATGTTTGGGCATTAAACATAGAAACCAATTTCCAAACTTATGGGAGTAGGCATTTAGGCATGGCTATAGGGCTTGGAGAAAAGATTTTTTTTTTGGAGGGGTATGCGGGACCATAAAGAAATAATAGATAATAATGTGGAGCTGTTGTAAAAGACAAAATACTAAGCATCTCATACACTGTAGGATTATCTTGTGAGATCTGTGATTAAATAAACAGGCTTTAGGTTTTTTTTCTCTCTGAAGTCGTTCTGGGTTAAGTGGTTCAGCTCCCCTTGCTCTGGGTTTGACCAGTTGTTCAAAAGTTTCCAAATAAACAAATAAATCAGTATTCAATCTGAACCTGAAATGAGAGCCAAAAGAGAAGTCCTGTTTATTACCCAGAACAAGGCAGCTGCAATCCCTGTGTCTCTGAGTAATAAAATTTAACCTGGCTAATAAATTATGTCAGACGATTAAAGATGATCGTGAACTTAGACTGGTTAAGACTGACCAACAGTAACAGGTGTTCTTGAAGAAGGGGGAAAAAAAACTAAGTAGGTATAGTTACAATGGTGGTGAAATGCTGTATCTGAAACATGGGTCACTATTTTTGTTGCTTTGCTAAGTCTCATTTAATTCTTCCATGTCAGCAACTATAAAATGCTTTGCTAAGACTTTGTGGCACCATAAGACTCAAGAGAAAGCCAGGCTCTTTCTTCTGTGATTAGTAAAATCACAGAAGAGGAAAGCCATTTGCTATGTTGGAGACAACTGTCATGTTGTAGACAACAGCAGCAAAAATATTTTTTTGATTTGTATATATA